TCTTGGCAAATTATTGCGGAGGGTGGATGAATTTTATTTTAAGTGTTTGATAGTGTAATTTTAAATTTTAAATATCTTTGGATTTTGAAATTTTGGATTTTTGTGACATTTTGGTAGCATTTTGAAATATTTGAAATTGACCCCTCCGGTTGAGATAAGCATTCAACACGGCCATCATCGGGGTGTACTTGGGGTTATTTCCACTTTTGGATTGAATATTGTCAACTCTATCGAGCTGTCGATAGAGGATTAGGTTTCTCGGGCTTCATGCTTTTGTTTGTGAATTTTCTTTGTTAAAGGCCTCGAAGGCCTAATGTAAATGTATAAAATAAATATTTCGGTCGACTTCGTGACTGCATATTTATCCGATGGTTCGAACCCTGTCTACTCCTATTTACCTGCTTAGGAGGATCGAGTTTCAAAGGCTTTATGCCCTTTATTAGTGAATTATCTTGATTATAGGCCTTGAAGGCTTAATATAAATGTATAAAATCAAATATATCGGCTGCCACAGCCATATATTTGATTGATAGTTCGAACCCTGTCGACTTCTATTGACCCACATAGAAGGATCGGGTTCGAACTTGAATTCACTTATTTGATCCACGTAGCATCCCTAAGCTTCATGTGTGTACCAATAACACGATCGTCGGGGCCCATGCGGGTGTTTGAGGGCATTTTATAATTATACACTGTTGACTCCTTTTTATTTGCTTAGGATGATCGAGTTCAAATTTAATAACCCGCGCAGCATCCCTAGACGTCACGTGTGTACCAATAACACGCTCGCCGGGGCTCATGCTGATTTTGTGATTGTATTTCCTTTTGGGTACCTATGTGTATACAAATTAAGGTGCATGTGCGGGGGCATTCTGGATATATTTGTAAACGCCTTCTGTTTGCTTGTATAGATGTTGCGGATCCGATGGCGTGTTGTTGCAACTTGTGGACTGAGTTGTTTGCTGCATTGTACAGGTATACTGTCGTGCACTACTTACATGATTTATGCAAGTAGATTGTAGTGCACTAACCAATCTCTTGCTTTGTGGTTACAAGTGAATTTTAACTTGTTTACCTGAATTTCACGAAATATTTCTTTGTTCTGATACAAACTTCCTTTTCTCATTCATCGGGGAGGTTCTTCTTGAAATCTGTGGCCACTACCTTGAAAGGAACTCCTTTCAAGCTCTTTAGTGAGTAGATTTGTTATTTCCGGTGTTTGTGGATACTAGAAATGTTTTCTTCCTAAGTATAGGATCAAGAAGAAACTTTGGAACACCAAGAAGCTTAGTTCGAATTTGCTCAAATATCTCTTCCATTCTGCTAGGAGATGTCCTTTTCCATACATCGAGTTGTCTTCATATTCGACGTACCCACAACCTCTCAATCACTTTTGTTGTAGGTGATATATGTACTTGTGTCCATAGGGGTTTGTTGCTCCTGCAATATACTCACTGTTGTTATCCACAAGCGGCTCGTGTGTATTTATGGGGGACCACTGTACTTTCAAGTTGATCGGCTTTGATAGCAAAACTTCATAAAGTTGACTATGCATCAATACTAGTCATGAAGTGATGTTGATATTCAACTAAATGATTCACAGGTTAAATTGACATTTGCATTTCCATGCTTGATTAAGCATTCAAAGTTCAGTTCTTTGCTATTTGTTCAGGTTTGAACCCGACTATAGTCTCTTGCAATGCATTTAAGTTCCTTGTGCGACTCAAGTTCTAGTCCATATCTTCGTCATTTGGTTCAAGCCTTATACTTTTGTAGGTCTGCTTGTTGTCTTGTTTAGTTCAAGTGTAAGTGATTATTCAAATTCAGATTAATCTAGATTTGAGTTCATCAAGTTCATAAGTCCCATTTGATGTTTTATAGTGCGAGTTCAAGTGCTTGTTCAGAGTCTTCTGAAGTCTTTGCATGTTTAATTGTAGGTTCAAATTGATTTGAAATTAGCTCAAGTTTGATCTTATTTTACTTGGGTTTAGCCTTTTATTCATCATTTAGATTTCGTTCAGGTTCATGTCCTCAAGTTCATTATTCATTTGAGTTCAAGTTCTTGTTCTTTTGAGTTCAAATCAGGTCCGAGTTTGTTCGTATATTCACTCGAAATTTCGGCAGCATTTCGGTGTCTCCCTCGTTTAGGGGAAAATTATGGAAAATTGGGCCTCCCGTCACGCTAGAGAAAAGCGTGTACGGTAGGTGCCCTCGTACGAGGACACTGCGATCGTAAAATATGTCCCCATAACTCTAAGAAAAGCGTGTATGGGTTTTCGGTACCTGTTACAACAGAAGAGCAGTTGTTTCCCATAGGTACAGAAGCTGCGTACAGGTACTTAAGAGTTGTCCTAGCCACGCTAAGAAAAGCGTGCACCAGGCTTACCTGCCTCGTCGCATGTGTCGCATCAGGTTCCCTCCTTCCACGCTAAGAAAAACGTGTATAGGTGGTTGACCGGCCCGTCACACACTTCGAGGACAGGATTTCGGAGTCAAGGGCCACTCACCTACCTCGTTGTAGGTGTCGTACCGAGTTCCCTTCCCACCACGCTATAAAAAAGCGTGTATGGGTGGTTTGCCGGCTCGACATGCACATCGAGGTAAGAGAGGGATATTTATTAATTAATCATAATTAAGAGTAACTTTAATTAATCATAATCAGAAGTGCTCGAAAGGGAGAAAGGGTCTTCACAGCGAACGAGCTCACGTTGCTTCCGATCAAATGTCGAAACTTCCGTTCCAATAGGCAGGGAAAGTCGTTGAGGGAGGGAGCTGAAGACACGCACGATAGGGAGAAGGTTACGATCACAGCGAGTGAGCTCTCCTGTTGTTTCCGATCAAACTGTTGTAACTTCCGAACTTATTGGAAGGGAAAGTTGTTGAACGAACGAAGTCGAACAACGACGAAGGACTCGATGGAGCACGCAAAGGGGGAAATGAACAAAAAGGCAGTGAGTGAGGGAGGCCGAAGGCCTCACCTCTTCCCTATTTTAACGACACAAATCGGTCATGGGTAGAAGCGATGTTGGGATGGTCTCGACGTGCGAACGACGTGCGACGTGCGTGGCTCAGGTATGGGATTTTTTTATCATTTATCATTTTCATTTTTTTTTTTGTTTTAATCGTGGAGGTCAACATGAGACTTGATCCCTAATGAAAATTTTAAAGACTAAATATTTTCCAAAGTAAAAAATATATTTAAGTGAAATCTACCCCTTTTAACTTAGAAGTAAAAGTCATCAACCCTTTGCAAATGATCGAGGACGATAGATTTGAGAATAACCTCAACTCACAAATGACTAATATCTTGTCGATATATCTTAGGATTCATTCTTAAACGATATATTGCTAGTAATGATTTGACATGTCTCTAATTGGTAGTTTTGTTGCCAAATGACACTATAAGTAAATGATTATAATAAGGTCCCTCTAACTTGGTGATTTTGCCGCAAAATGACATCATTTAATTATGGTTACAACCAAAGCTCACAAGTTCATCAATGGCTAAAGTACCCTTAAATAATGAATCATAAGTACACTTGATAGGACATAAAGCCATATGTTTGCTAATATTGATTTGAATTTCTCTCTTTTGATAAATATCTACCCCTGGTCTATAAAGTTCTCTTTAATGAATCAACTTATGTTTGTCGATGAAGATCTTTTTGTTAGGTTTGATGGACTACCTTTTTGACTGAATGGAGTATTGTTCATGAATCCGGGGCGATAGAATCATGAGATCTTGATCGAGTTTGTCATTATCAATTTATCCAAAAAAAAAAAAAACAATAATCTATAGCTCCATTCTCAGGATAGCCATTCATTCTATTTTTTATCAAATTGCCAAGATAAATTTAAGCCCATGCATGTCAAATGTATCAAAATAATCACACTCAAATCTCAAGCTAGTAAATCCATGGCATATGCTGTTTGCTGGGTGGTTAGCCTGACTAGGATGGAATCGTCATGTTGTGGTTATGGCCCAAACTTGTAAGTTCCCTTATGGCTAAGTTTATGAGTTGTGAGCTATAATGCACACTTGATAGGGCATATGTTGTTTGCTAATATCAGCTTAAAAAATGTTCATTTGGAAAGATTTCACCTATGTTTTTGTGATCTTGGACGAGCAACCCAGGTTTATTATTAGGGATACTTGGATCCAGTTGCGTCTACTAATTAGACTAGGGCCAATGAAAACATGGGATGACAGGATCATGATTTCATGATCTGGTTTATTATTAATCAACCATTTTTTGTTTTGTCAATAGTAGTATATCTTTCTTCTTCAAATTGAAATTGCTAGTCCGAAATCAAAATATCATAAAACCTATGGACTAGTCTTAGTGAATGTTTTTTCTCTTGATTGAGAGAGATAATTAACCATCGTAGGGATATCTCAAACTAGGTTATAAAATCAAATAACCATCGGAGGGATATCTCAAACTATGTTATAAAATCAAAGGAAAAATGTTTAAGTAAGCTCTTATCTAATATCCAGTTGACAACAACATCAAGTTTTTATCCCGCTATATGGGGTCGCCTAATATCCAATTTTCCTTATAAAAAAATTCACCCAAATCATCAAATTCGAACACAACATTTTCCAAGCCCACAAAGCTTTTCTTGTTGATAATTAGCTTCTCTGCATGTATATCAATCAGTAACTTCTTTGTTAATGTTTGGCTACAGTGCCTGCGTTTTGCATGGGCTCTTGATGGTTGCTCTCTCAATCGGCGCTTATTTATTTATTTATTTTGTTTTACTCTCTCTATGGTCGCTTGCATGTAAACTTTTCCATGGAGTTTTTGTTGAATTCTTTCAAAGAAAAGGTATTCTCGGTAGTAAATTTTATTTGTTCTCGGGATTATTTTCTTATTGCTTGTATACTATTAAATTATTTATCTTGTAACTAAAAGTTTTTATGCCAACATTGTGATGCTTAGCTCAGTAATTTTTGGAAGTAATTTCTAATCTTCTTGTGGTCACTGTTCATGGAACAGTTATTGATAGGATTTTACAAATGGAGATGAATTTATCCGATCTGCAAGCAGAGCTGAACAGGATAGCATATCTTCTGAAAATTGCTGACCCAAGTGGAGAAGCTACTCGAAAAAGAGCGTCAAGTTCTAACGAAGCACAAGCATCCAAGTCTGCTCAATATGTGCCCAGCATCTCAAGACAGAGTCAATCTAATGAAAAGCCAAACCCCATTTTGGACAAGCTCAAACCAAAACCATCTCTTGAGGAAACCCATAAGTTGGTTCCAGCAGAGAAACCTTCTGAAAAGGATGACGGTGCTTGTGAAAATAAAAAAGACAAAACGCTTTCATATACTATCGCCAAACCTCAGTGGCTTGGCGCCACAAGGAACACAGAAACAGATGATCAGATATCCCCAGCTAATTTGGATGTAAGCATTTCAGATGATTTTGTCGACTACAATGATAGGAAGAAAGTTCTCGGTACAGTTGATAATGAAAGCAACTTAGAAACTGCAGCTTCGGGTCTCTTCATAAGGAAGAGGAAGTCTACAGAAAAAGCTGAAGATAGTGTTGAAAAAGCTCAAAAAGTTGAAGTTCCATTCTCATCATCCTCACCAAAGGCCGAAACCATTGCAGCTGATGCTGTTGCCTTGCTTTTAAAGCATACTCGGGGAATTCATGTAGTTGATGAGTTGAAAGACGAGAATCTAAACTTGCAAGTTGAAGGCCAAACTGGTAAAGAAAATTCAAATGTAAGGCGTGTCCTTGGACCTGTTAGACCTGATTTTCTAGATGGGCGTCCAGATTATGAGTCCTGGGTTCCTCCTAAGGGTAAATATTGGAACCTTTTGTCTATCTCTCTTAACTTCCTGTGGTTATTTGTTTAATGTCTCTAGTTCTAATGACACTAAACAGGGCAAACTGGGGATGGTCGTACTTCTCTGAATGATCGTTTGGGATACTAAATCATGGTTCGTATTGTAAGCTATTAGAGACCACTCCTGCTATTTGTAACGATATAATTCGGAGTAAATCTACCGTATTGCTGATGGCCACTGCAGATCATTGGGTAAGATCTCATGCATTGAGAAGGCATCAATATCAAATTTCTTATACAGCTGCTCATCAAGTTGTATTGTAAATATGTTACCACTGAGGTATTAAAAATGGCTGCTAATCCTTTCTACCCATGCAATTAGGTCCTGGTTTTCAGATTTCCACACATTTCCTCAAAGATTTTTGTTGATTGACCATTTACTGATGTTATTGATCTTATGCATTATGCGCATGTAGTAATCAGGAAAAAGAAGTTTGTTTTTTTTTTAAATGTTTATTTGCTATGTATATTGTCATATTTTGCTGATTGACCAGATTCAAAAGGATCAGGACGGTTGGATTAGAGTTGTAAATGAATCAGTCAAGCTGAGTAAATTTTTTTTCAAGTTCATTCATGTTTTTTCTAATCAAGTTATAGCCTATTTTTAATATGACTTCATTTTAACATTTTGTTCAAGTTTGCTTGTTATTTCTTTTTATGAGAGACCTCCAAGTGATGCAAAATTCCAAACGAAAAAATGGTATTTGCTAGTAATAATATGATGCAGGAAGTCTACTGAATACAAATTGACCCAACTTTCAATATAAATTTATTATAACTGCTCTGCCTTGTATTTATGAAATGTAACGCATTGATTCTTTTTAATGAACGTCTTTGATAAGATGAAAAATGGTTCTTTTGAGAGCTTAATATGTTTATTATACCTGGCGTTGAAAGGACTGGTATTTAATTTAGCACTGGAATTTGGACTTGTCGATGGAACCAAATCTCAAACTATTTCTCCTATTACCATTCCATGGAGTAAGATAGCTACGCCAAAGCATTGAAGGTATCACCACCATCTTATAGAATATTTCCTTAGGTACATTTCTATCACACAACAAGTTCGATGCATTTCTCCACTTCAACGATTCAATTTGAATTCTACTAATAATATACCAATTTATTTCACCATCACTTTGAATAATATACCTGAGATATATTAAACATGTACTCTTATTAATGACTTGATTGACCAAAGTCATAGTCTCCCATTAGATCTATTATTATTAAAATATCATTTCATATTTTTAGTTTTAGATCTATTCAAATGAAAACCTTTAGACTCTAAGATTGACATTTACGGTTCAAGTTCATCTTCAACTCCCTCTCCAGTCTTATCAATAAAAAACATAGCATCAACAAAAAGCATATACCATGGTACATCCTCTTGCAAATGTCTAATAAGAACATCCATGACTACAGTAAAAAGATATGGGTTTAAAGCTGATCCTTGTTGTAATCCAACTAAAATAAGAAAATGCTTGGTAAAATTATCTTGTGTTAGAACACAAGTAATAGCTCATACATACATTTCCTTAATGTCTTGAATATAAACATTATTAATCACTTCCTTTTCTAGAACTCTCGAGAGCACTTCTCTTGAAACTTTATCATATGCTTTTTCTAAATCAATAAATATCACAAGTAGATCCTCCTTATTCTCTCTATACTTCTCCATCAAACCTCTCAATAATGTATACGTTCCATAGTAGGCCTACCTGGCGTGAATTCAAATTGATTTTGAGAGACATTAGTTTTATGTCGTAACCTATGCTTAATAACTCTCTCCCATAATTTTAAGTATGACACATTAACTTAATTCATATAATTCACACACATTTGTGCATCACCTTTATTCATAAAAATATGAATGAACACTCTTTCTCTACTTATTTGATATTTTTTTAGTCTTCAAAATAATATTGAAAAGTTTCATAAGTCAAGAAATTACTTGATCTCTTAAGCATTTCCATACCTTAATTGGAATATGATCAAGTCTAATAGCTTATTTCACACTTCATTTTATTTAAAGCCTCTCTGTAATTTTGATTTTACTAATACGTCAATACATTATTTTCATTTAAGGCGCTAAGGTCACTAAAGTCAGTTGTATTTTCACAATCTTCGTTGAAAACTTATCAAAATCATCCACTGTTGTTAAATATTCTCTTCTAATAAAACTTTTTTTTTATTTTCTTCCTTATTGCACTTTATTTGAACTAAATCCTTAGTTCTCATATCTCTTTGCTTGGCTAGCTTATATATATACATATATATTTTTCGCTCTCTTTAATATCTAACATATTATATAAATCATTATGGACTCCGAAAATTCGCGCCCCGCCCCCCTTTCTTTCAGGAGAGTTTTAACGAATTAAGTTTGAGGTAAATTTTCAAAAGGCATATTGGATTTGAAATAAGACACTACCTAAAGATTTCTCCCTCATTTTGTGAGGACTTTATTATCTAAGTTCTGGTTTCCTTATAGGTGTAAGCCCCTATAGTTAATTACCCATCCCAGTAACTAGAGAGAACTTTTGATTAAGGCTAGTCGTCGTTCAGATATATGATATGTATTTGGCATATAATAGCAGCATAGGTTTAGGTATTGTTGAAAATTTGATATTTAAAATTAGAAATTTCACCATTTTGCACTTAAAGCAAATGGTGGCGGAATGGATGATGTCCCTGATCAAGATCCCATGGTTCTGTTGTCCCGGGTCATCATGGTCCCTGGTCTACTTAGTCAGAGGTGGTGATCAACCCAACCTGACAGAGGGATCCTTGTCGGTAGCCATGAGTTGCTTCGTCCAAGGGTACATTGTAGATCTGTGGGGAGTATTTATCTAAGGGGACATATTTGAATCCACCTTAGCTAACAGAAGGTTTTATTCCCTATCAATCATATCATATTGATTTATATCTCAAGGATTTGACATCATTGGGGAGCATATGAGCTTTGATTGTAATCGTAATACAATGGAATCGTTGGACCAAACCACTAGGATAGAGGGTTACAGTTGTAATCCTTGACTATACATAGCGATCTGGCCAAACCATGGGTTATTTGCAAAGCCATCCAACCAAACAAAAAATCAATTCCATGTTCTTACTTGAAGGGGATTGTTTTAGAATGAATTCTAGTGATATTCTTGATCATACATTAGTTCTTTATGCGCTGAAGTAGTTTTCGAATTTGTCCACCTTGACAAACTGTTACAGAGGGTGGATGAGTTTTGTTTTAAGCATTTGATGATTAATTTCAATTTTAAATATTTTGAATTTTGATATTTTGGAGTTTTGAGTTTTTATTAGCATTTGAGAATTTGGGAGACATTTTAAATAATTAAAGATCCTCCCCGGTTGATATTTTCTATCTACCCGGTCATCATTGGGTTGGTTATGACGTCATTTGAAAATATTTGTATTTTGCAGAAGTTTGAGGGCATTTGAAAATATATGATCTCCTCCAGTTGAGAACAATCAACACGATCATCATCAGGGTATTTATGAGCAATTTTCATTTTGTTGATTGAACCATGTTGACTCTGTTAACTTGCCTACAGAAGATCAGGTTTTTCACTGGCTTTATGCCTTTATTGGCGAATTTTCCTTGTTATAGACCTTTAAGGCTTAATATGAACGTATAAAATAAATATCTCAGTTGACACCTCGACCGTACATTTGTTAGATGTTTCGAACCGTGTCGACTCCTATCTACTCGCATAGCAGGATTGGGTTCAAAGTCAAATTTATCATTTAACATGCGCAACATCTACAAATGTCACGTGTATACCCATAACATGCTCGTCGGGACCCATACATGTATTTAGGGGGCATTTTTGGTAATTATCTTTTGAACCTTGTCGATTTTGTCTAATTGCTGATAGATGATTAGGTTCGTTGTCGGCCTTGTGCCTTTACTAGTGAATTTTCTTGTTATATAGTTTGAAGGCCTAATATAAATGTATAAAATAAATATCACGGTCGCCACGACTGTATATTTATTTGATATTTCGAGCCATGTTGAGTCATATCTACCCACATAGAAAGATTGGGCTTGAAATTAAATTCATTTCTTGACCCGCGTAGCCTCCTCAGGCATCACGTGTGTACCTACAATGCACTTGCCGGGGCCTATGCTGATTTAGACTCATATATTCACATGCTTGTATGCGTAGTTCTACATTCGTATGATGTATTTGCATGGTGGCTATTTGTATGCGGTGGAGGATGTGTGTATGACATAGCTGCATATTTATATGTGCGGTCATATGACTACATGCGTGCTAGCTTATTTGCACATGTATTTGAGCACGTACTTGTATGCATACATTGCTTATTTACTTGCATAATACTTATGTACGATCATTCAATGCCTTGACGTAAAGCATAATGTATGTGCATGCATGTAGTGTATAATGCGTAGATAATATAAATGCACATTCGTATGCGCATGCATATGACCGTACACATGCTGATATATTCGCGTATGCAAATTCACATTTCATGTAGGTATGTATGCTGACATGCTGTAGCTGTACAGTTTTTGATCGTGTTCGCATGATATTTTACATGTTGCATGTTAACTTAATGCAATAGTGTATGATATGCTTGTGTGGGGGCATTTTGATATCATATGGCACCGATCAGCTGTGCAGGCAACCCTCGTTTGAGTGCGCGCAACTTCCATTTGAGAGCTTATACAGACATTTTGTTCCCTTATATGAGTATTATAGATTTGGTGGCATGGTGTTTTGTTTCAGCAGAAATTTGTAAACGCATTCTGTTTGCTTGCATGAATGTTGTGGATCCGGTGACATGATGTTGCACTATGGTTATTTATTCATTTCTTTATACAGGTAGATTGTCGTGCACTAGCAAGTCTCCTGCTACGGCTCGTAGATGCTGACCTTTGCTAGAGGTTTTTATATTCACCCGTAAATGGTATGTAGTGCATATGATGGGCCTTCTGCAAAGGTCCGTAGGAGCCTGCATTTTGCTATGTGTCATATGTCTTCATTTAGTGAAGGGCGGTGTATCTACTTGACATTGAATGGCGATCAATTGCAAGGGTGTAGAAATATTCATCGCCTCTTGTTGCACAAATTTTATGTGCTTTTATTTATCACATATATGCTACTTTCCAGCGAAGCTACATTTGTAACCAACTTCTTCATGCGCATTGATTGGTAGATTGCTATTCACTTGCATATTGGCTTCATGTTCATAGAAGGTTGTTGCATGTATCTGCAAGCCAGTTAGCATTGATCGGAGGGATATCTTTGTATTCATTGCATGCCCCTTGAGTTCACTTGTAGGTTGACAAGCATATTGCATCCGTTTGTATATATTTTGTTGTTGTTCACAAAAGACCCATAATTCTATTGTAGTTGTTCATGAATGAGCTGTTGCATATGTCCTAGGCTCTTTGTTAACTTCAAAGACGATCTATAGTATGCGTTATACTTTTACTTTTAGTGCCCATGAGAAGTTGACGCATTTGTTTGTAAATTGCACCCATCATTGGATGCATTAAGCATTTCTGCGCATTTATTACATCCTTCTTGC